CAAAGCAATAGCCAATAGGGTTCAGAAATACTTAACAATTATTAATTTCAACTATTTGTCATAAAACATGTATTGGATTACATTATCTATCTATATAAAAGATAAGACTCGTCTACCTCCGGTGTATAGAACTGCCCTTATTCCAAACCAATAAAAAAATTATTATTAAAAAAATATTCTTATTCTTTTCTTCATATTGATCAGAAATATTATCGTTTAAATTATAATATTATTTTTGATTGCTTTGGTGTATATAGTGGATTCATACACCGAGTGTAGATAAACCCTTCCCATATATTATAAATATATAAAAGTTAAAGGTTGACAGGACACAATGTTAAAATACTTATTTATTAGGTTAGACTTTATTTTTCCTTTCAAAGGAAAAAGAAATACATAATAGATTGTGTTTACTAGAAAACAGGAAATTGTTTTCTATTTTCTGTTTTCTATTTTTTAAGAAAATAATTTTTAAAAAAAATGAAAACTAAAAAACAAGAATTGATAACATTATTATTTATTATGTTATTTAAATATTTTTATTTTCAATGAAAATATTTTATAGAAAAATTATTGATAGATACTATAATTTTAATTATTAAAATGTCATTTTTTTAAAAAAAATAAGAAACAGTTGGAAAACATATCATTTGTATAAAAGAAAACTCCGGAAAACAATTTTAGATTATTTTTCAAATCTTATTTAAATGTTGAAAAACTCTGAAAAACTGTTTTCTAATTTTCCAAATAGAAAACTGACTGATTTGAACATAAAACTCTGTTTTTCAGTTTTCTTGAAAAATTTTTCTAGAAAATTACTCCAGTTTTCTACAAGTGAACACACTTATAATATTTTCATACTAGGGTTAAATTAATGATGTGTATTAACTATTAATTAATTAAATAGTTTTCAAAAATTTCACACTAGTTAAATAACTTGTTCAATTGATGATACTTTCCGCATCCACTTTTATTTATAATTTTAAAGTTTTTGCATGTTAATTAAGTAAGCAAAAAAATCACCCAAATTACAACAAAAATACTATAACAGCCCAGCCCTAGTGTGATATTGTCCGCTTTGGGTGTCAAATCTGGCCTGAACCCTCACGGTTTTGTTTCTGGGCCAGGAAAACCTCCGCTCTGCCAGCCCAAAACGCGTCACACTAGTTCAAGGTTGCCACCCTTTATGTATAGGACTTCCACCTTGTGCGTAGCCGATGTGGCGTAGGCCCGATGTGGGATTCGCCTAAGGTGTTGTGGCCCCGCAACGCTGGGGATGTCACATACTCCTTAATTTATCTCACCTAATTAAATCCTATTTCATAAATTCTTTCTTTATTGAATCTCTCACTAAGAAGGGTTTAATTAGAAAAAAAAAAAAAAAAAAAAAAAAAAAAAAAAAAAAAAAAGAGAAAGGAAGAAGAAAGTGATAAAAAGGATTTTAAAAATTTATAAAAAATAGTTATTATGTTTAATAGAGAAAAGGTAAAATTATATAAAAGCGACAACTAATAATTGAACAATCGCAAAATCATGTACCTTTTTCAGTTATTATTTGTCTTCAATTTTTGATATTGAATAATATTGTTATTAACTTATAATTATGTGGTTATTCTTTATTCTGGTACAATGAGGGTAACAAGCTCATAAACTATAAATAAGTTGTTTGATGAGAAACCACACTAGAATCATGCAACCATCAATTCATAATCTACAGGATTTTTCGACAAAATTAGCTATTTTGATAATTTTTAGCTGTTTAAGTAGCTTTTCGTAAAATGCTAAAAATTAAATGTTGAAGGAGTTAATCTTTTATGAAACATTATTTTAACTTGTAAAAAGTAGTTCAAAAACTATATTATCGAACCATTAACAATTTTTAATAATTTATTTGTCAAGTAATTTATTTTTTAGATTTCATAATTATTCCAAAATTTAAATTGAAAAATCAAACAACAGTTAAAATTAGTTTATTATTTAAGTAGTACTCTATTTTTTTCAAAGAGTCCATATATCAAACAATGCATTTTTATTTACTAATATTATCAACTAAAGAAATAATTTAAAAATAATAATAGAGATTTTCCTTAGCATTGACCCAAGTTTTCTTATTCACACATATGTATTAAATTAATCTAAACCCAAAATTAAGAGTAAACCTGTAACGCCCCATTTATGATTTATATGTTAAGTTAAGACGGTGTCTCCGGCACCGAATGTGGCATCCGCCGTCGGGTCTCTCGGGACTGGGCGGAGGGTGTTAGTTATGTTAAGTTAAGACGGTGTCTCCGGCACCGAATGTGGCATCCGCCGTCGGGTCTCTCGGGACTGGGCGGAGGGTGTTACAAAACCCCATAATAATGCGTTTTTTATTTGCAATTTAAATCTTAATTATAATTTATGACATTATTGCAATAAAAAATCAAAGTTCACGGTGGGAGTAAAATAGCAAAAGAACGCAAAGTTAAGGTGAACCAATGTATTAGGCCTAAAAAAATGTAAAAATTATAGTTCAAAAATTTATAATAACCACACATAAAATTAATATTTTACATATAAAAATTAAAAACATAGAAAATAATATTGCTAGTACAAGAGGTGTAATGTTATTAAAATTCATATTTTAAAGATACAATACCTCCTCGTAAAATTTAGACTACCATAAAGTTATTTAAATTATAGTGATGAATCTATGTATTTAGTTTTTTTTTTTTTTTTTTCTTTAAATGTAATTGGATCAAGGAAAAGAGAGCGAGAATTTGCATTATTCATACAAGATAAGATTCCGTACACACAGACAATGCGCGTTGAGGTCCACCGAGTATCATGGCTATGAGCTTGTAACATCTGGGTAACTTGCACGACTGGGTTACATCACTTTATAACTTTCCTTGTACTACTTTCTTTCTTCGTCAGAGCTAAGGATGAGCAAATCGCGATTTGATTAATATTTTTAATCGAAATAAATTAATTAAAAATTTTTATGTTTTAACTAAATTTAATTAAAGCATTTTAATTAAATTAATTTTGATTATTAATTGAACCGTTAATAAAAATAAAAATTTAATTGATCGATTGAATTTCACCGAAATTTATAATTAATTGACTTTAATCGAAATAAAAATTAACTAAACTTATTAGTTACTATTTAATCAAAATAAAAATTAAAATATTTTTAATTTTACTTTTATTATCTACTTAATCAAAACGATGTAGTTTTGAGAGTCGGTTAATTTTAATTAATTTTGTCAAATTAACTTTTAACCGAAACTGATAACCGAAAATTTAATTTTCTTTAACCGAACATTTAGTCACCGAACCAAATTAATCGAATTAGCCGAATTAATCAAATTGACAGAACCGAATGCTCACCCCTAATGATAGCCTCTAAAAACAAATAATAAGCTTTTTATTATTTGTTCAGGATTTTGATAGCTTAGGTGGAAAGATATTTCTTAAGAAGATCGTGAATAAAAATGACAAAAAGAAGGAATAAAATTAAAAATATATATATGAAGTTGACGATTTGGAGTTTTTAAAAAATTAACATGAATAGGAAAACCCTTCCCTGCATGCTAATAAGTAGGTTACGGAATGGGAGCTTTTGGAAGTTTTTAAACCTTTCAAATCACCTCCAAACACCCTTCCTTCAGAATATCTTAGGTACCTTCAAAAATTCTCTATCCAAATAGCGGCTCAACGTCCGGTATTACTTATGTACCAAATCAGTTCATGAAAAGTTTTTTTAAAATATTGAGAAAAATATTTTTATTTAAATAAAGTTGTTTTTAATAGGTTTGATACATAATTAAACTCATTTATTTATAATTAAACGAAATAGAAGGAGTGCATTTTGCGGATGAAGCATCGGTTGATTCAAATAGAATTAAATTTTTCAAAATAGACTAAATTATGTTTTACATAATAAGATAAAGTAAACCGAATCAAATTCATTTTATTTTGACCAAATTTTTGAGTTAAATCAATTTACTCTAGAGAGTTTTGAATTTAATTTTATGTAATAAAAATGAAATTGAATCAAAACACTTTTGGTTTTTTATTATAACAAATAATATCATTTAGTCATGTTCATGATTTCATAATCACCGCTTTCAGTAATAAGAAAAGTGAAACTGGTTTATGTAATAAAAATGAAATTGAATCAAAACACTTTTGGTTTTTTATTATAACAAATAATATCATTTAGTCATGTTCATGATTTCATAATCACCGCTTTCAGTAATAAGAAAAGTGAAACTGGAACCAAAATATTTTTAGTTATTTTTAAAATGCGCTTTCAGTAATAAGAAAAGTGAAACTGGAACCAAAATATTTTTAGTTATTTTTAAAATGGTCTTGTAACCGCTAGTTTCAATTCCATCTCAATTTGGAATTGAAATTGGATTTTTTTTTCAAGTTCTTTTTTTTATTTTTTTAAGTTTTGTAGCCTGAATAAATAATAATAATAAATAGTACTCTTGAAAAAAAAACCCATTTTAATAAAAGATCTTAAAATATATTCTAAAAAATTATAATAAAACCAAAAAGATATAAAAAGTTTGTTTGAAAATATATTTTTCATGGTTTTAAACCGTAATCCTCGGTTCTAAATCAAAGTTATAAATTAAAGTTATGGATTCTAACTTGAAAAAATGAAAAATCGAAACCAAATAAATACACAGTTTTGATTATAGTGGGAACCATTAGGCGCGTTTTAGTGCCGATTTTAACTGTTATAATGCCTAACAGTATTGAATTTTTTAAAAATCGAATCGAAATGAAGTAAACCGGTTGATTATAAAACTGAGTTAGCCGATTTTGGTTAACAACTTCCACATATGTACGTAGTTCTCATAATAATCACTTACAGCTGTGCCCATGGACTTAATTATGCATTTGCAGGCGACAAATCCCAAATAGGTAAACTTCATCAAGAATTCAACTTTCTATTTTTTGAGTAATTTGTGTTCAAAATACATCCTCTATAAAGTCCCCATAGGAGTTCCAAAGGAAACTCACTTGTCATTGTTATTAGAACAACACGCTATTCTCTTCCTTTCTTTCTCTTTCTTCAACAAGACAAATGGGTAGCTTAATTGGGCATGTATTACCAGGAATAGCATTTCTTGCACTAGGTTTATGGCATCTTTTTAATCATATAAAACTCTACTCTCTACAACCAAACTCCTACATTTCATCTCCATGGTTCCCAACCTCAAAAATAAGGTACTTGGAACTTCTCTTGATCATCGCAGGAAGCTCTATCTCCATTTCCATGGAGCTTTTTATTGGGCCTCAGAAACACCAACCTTTTGATACTGATGGAACCATACCATCAAATCATTTAAGAAACTTCGAACACTCTTCAATATCAATGTTTTTCATCGTTTATGCATCTTTTGCAATACTTCTTGATAGAATAAAGCCTATATCTCAAATTGACCTAACACAACTCATTGGAGCAATAGCTTTTTCTCAGCAATATCTTCTCTTCTATCTTCACTCAACAGATCATAAGGGACTTGAAGGGCAATACCACTTTCTTCTCCAAATCATTGTGATTGTTTCTATAGTAACTACTCTTATGGGGATTGGACTTCCAAAGAGTTTCTTGATTAGTTTTGTTAGATCTGTTAGCATTATTTTTCAAGGTGTTTGGTTCGTAGTTATGGGTTATATGCTATGGACACCACAGTTCATACCCAAAGGTTGCTTAATCCATAATGATGATGGTCACATAGTTGTTAAATGTGGTAGCCAAGAGGCATTACATAGAGCTAAATCGTTAGTCAATATCTTATTTAGTTGGTTTCTGATTGGACTTACCATTTTTTCAATTTCATTTTATTTGGTTTTGGTTGAAAAGAATAGCAAAAGGGTTCAATATTCTTCATTGCCAAAGGAATTTGAAGAGCTACAAGAAGACTCTAATGATGTTGAATCCCAAAAGGAGAAGAAATTTGGTGATTCCAAGGGTAATTTTACTCATGTTGGATCAGGATTTCCAGCTTTTGATTTGGAAAGGTTCAAGTTGTGAGAGAATTGAAGTTAAATGTGATTACCTCTCTGTCCAAATTTATTTGCTTGTAGGTATGCTTGGTTGTGGATGGAAGAAAAAATACATCTTTTTTACTCACTTTTAATTCCATCTTCTTTCGAGATATTGTGTGTATATATGCATAAGAATGTGTCTTCTTGTCCTATATAAAAGATATAATAGAGATATTTGTTAATGCTTCTCTTTCTTAATAAATGTCCACAATTTTTTGAAATATTTCAGAATAAATATTCATTTTTTTTCTGTTAAATACCGTAACAACCTTCAAAAAACCTAAAAGCTAAAAGTTCTTTTTTCTTCTTCTACAGGTGGCCATGGTGGTCACCCTTTCTCTTTTTTTTTTTTTTTTTTTTTTTTTTTTTTTTTTTGTGGCCATGGGTGGTCACCCTTTCTCTTTTTTTTTTTTTTTTTTTTTTTTTTTTTTTTTTTTTTTTTTTTGCAAATAATCCTTAGATCTGAATGCAGATCTGATTTATTCACCCAAATATTAGGATTTATTATTGTCTATATATTGAGATTTTATTCTCAAATTTAGTTCTAAATTATTGTTAGTACTATTATGGTGATTTTATCTAGGGTCTTTTGTTATTTGGATAGTTATGCAAAAAGAAGTGCAGATCTCCTTTCTAATGAAGCAAGAAATTTGAAGGTGATCAGATCAGACTTGTAGAATAGAGTCGAACAATGGCCATGAATAGCCACTAAGTGGAGCAAGCGATCGCATATGGCACAAATATTATACTTTGTCAGCTAGATCAAATACTTCAAATCAAGATTGTGTTTTTTTATTTTTTGTATAAGTGATTTATTATTAGACTTGTTGTACAAAAAAAAAATATATATTAAATTATCTTTCTCTCATATCTATATTTTTCTCCTAATGAAATTTCTAATTTGATTTCTTCTGAAAAAACTAATTGAATTTTAGTAGATCCAAAAAGAAATAAAATAAAAGAACTTTCAACTAAACAGATCCTCTTAAATATGAAATCTTCAATTTGCCTCTATATATTGAGTTCTTTTGTCATTTTCTGGAAATGGATTTGGGGTTAATTTCTTTGGTAGTTTTTGAACTCTAGGGGCACAGACTTTATCATGCCTAACCTTTAATTCATTGGCTTATATGTAGTCTATCAAGGTTTCTCCATATCCAAAGGGTTAATTTCACTGGAATGGGCTTAACTATATACTCAATCACTTAATATAGTACTAACTTCAATTTGTAGTTTAAAAATACCTAAACTCTCACATTTGTAACTGTAAAATATCTTTTGATGTAATTGACAATTTTCGATTGTCGAATTGCTACATATTTACCATTTGGTTTTTTTTATTTTAAATGAATTTTTGTTTATAAATTTTCTCTCTCCTCTATGTCATAGCTGACCTTCACCATTTTTTCCCTCTCTCACATGTTAGTCTCCTTTTGCTTTTTAACATAGATCTCTTTATTTCTCTTCATTTTGGTTTTTAATGCTTATCTCTCTCTATTTCTCTTCTTTTCGGTTTTTAACACATATCTCTCTCTCTTTCTCTTCATTTTTAATAGCTCGCATCTCTCAATCCATTTTCTTTCTTGTTTAAATATGTTAAGAAGTTGACTTAGCTGCTGCACTTCCAATTTAGTTGCTGCATTTTTTCTTTTTCTGTTATGTTTTGACTTGTTCTACTGCATTTCAGTCATTCTGTTTATGTTTTGACTTGTTTCTACTGCATTTCAGTCATTTATTTCCCATTTTTCTAGCTGAGTTGTTAACATGGAGCATGTTCCATGGTTTTGAGCTGAAAATATAGGAAATTTCTTTCTGTTATCCTTTTTTTGTTGTTTTAAGCACATTTGGCAAGTTAATAAAAAAGTTAGTACAGCTGCAAATATTCTTTTTTTTTTTTTGTTATTTCTTAGTTTGCTCCAACAAACTGGTAATCAGAGCTCTTCTTAAGGGACTGGTGAGGAAGTGTATATTCACCAAAATGGAGGCTTCGAGTGCAGAAACTCCTTTCAATGCCATTGCACCTCCTGTGTTCAATGGAGAAAATTATCAAGTTTGGGCAATTAGAATGGAGGCTTACCTGGATGCAAATGATCTTTGGGAGGCTGTTCAGGAAGACTACCAAGTGCTTCCACTACCCGACAATGGCTCAAATGAAGAATTTCAAAGAAAGGAAGGCAAGGAAGTCCAAGGCCAAAAGCTGTTTGTTTGCTGCAGTTTCATCTTCAATTTTCACTAGAATCATGACCTTGAAAACAGCCTTTGATATATGGAACTATCTCAAGAAACTATTCCAAAGAGAGGAGTACGAGGAAATGAGAAGGATCAAAGGAATGGCAAGTAGCCTGAATCTGGTTAGAGGAATTTATGAGATGCTAGAAATGAAGGGAATGAAACTATTTAAGAGTATTCAAAAAACTTCTCAATATCGTTAAACAAGGTTACGATTATTTGGTTCTGAATTTGCTGGTACAAGACATAGTTCAAAAAAATTCTGTTACTGTCCCGGAAAGATTTGAAGCTCCATCTCTTCTTTGGGAAAATTACTAAGGTCATCTGTCAAAGATTGGCTTTCGGGTAAAATTGGATACATGCTTTGCAGGCTCTAAGAACAGAGAAGGCTTATGAGAAGTGAAGGTTCTGTTGAACGGAGCATTGGCTTGCAAGGTGCCAAAAAACAAATCAAGGAGGGAAAGGGGATAGTACAAAGGAAACAAGAAGGAAGGTTTCAGATTCATCAAAGTTCTGACTTTTCCTCAAAGTCTGACTTTCCTCCTTGTAAGCACTGCAACAAAAAGGGTCATCCACCATCGAAATGTTGGAGGAGACCTGATGTGAAATGTGAGAAGTGCCAGAAATGGGACGTCATCAGAAAATATGCAAGAGCAAGGTTGTAGCTCAAGATGATCTACAACAGAAAAATGTTGCTTAAGTAGCTGATTATGAAGAGGAGCAACTATTTGTAGCTACTTGTCTTGCAGCAAGTCATTCAAGTGACAAATGGCTCATTGACAGTGCTTGCACCCACCACATGACCTTTGATAGGGATTTATTCAAGGAGCTGGATACGTCATTCATTTCCAAAGTAAAGATTGGTAATGGAGAATATATCGCAGCGAAAGGGATAGGCACAGTTGCAGTAGATACTTCAATATGTACAAAGTTTATTCAAGAAGTGTTATTTGTACCTAACATTAATCAAAATTTGCTGAGTGTTGGTCAGCTTCTTGAAAATGGTTTTAAAGTGTTTTTTAAGAGCAATCATTGCTTAATCAAAAACTCAAAAGATGAAGATATGTTCAAAGTGAGCATGAAAGGGAAGAGTTTTGCACTAGATTTTCTACAGGCAAAGCAATCAGTCTACTCAGCAATGACAGTGAATGCAGAAGTGTGGCATAAAAGGCTGGGTCATTTTCATCATAGAGCAATGGTGAATATGCAAAAGAATGAACTTGTTCGAGGTTTGCCTAATCTTGAAGTTGAAGTTGAACTTGCAGTATGCAAGGGCTTGCCAATATGGAAAGCATCAGGCTTCGCAATCAAGGCTTCCTTTCAAGAAAGCTACCTGGAGAGCATCAGAAAAGCTTCAGTTGATTCATACTGATGTGGCTGGTCCTCATAGAACTCCTTCACTTAATGAGAGTAAGTATTATCTGCTTTTCATTGATGATTATAGCAGAATGTGCTGGATATATTTTCTCAGATTCAAATCAGAAGTGGCTGGTGTGTTCTGAAAATTTAAGAACTGGATTGAAACACAAAGTAGCTACAAAATTCAGACATTGAGGTCTGATAATGGGAAGGAGTACACGTCTGCAACTTTCAGTGAGTTTTGTGAAGAGGCTGGAATTGAACATCAACTCACTACTCCATATACTCCTCAGCAAAGTGGAGTCAGTGAACGTAAAAATTGTACAGTGATGGAGATGGCCAGGTGCTTGCTTCATGAAAAGGAGTTGCCAAAATAATACTGGGCAGAGGCTGCTAACACTTCTGTGTTTCTGCTGAACCGACTTCCTACAAAGGCAGTTGATGGGAAGACACCTTTTGAGGCTTGGTATGGTTACAAACCCTGTATGGTTACAAACCCTCTTTAAAAAATTTAAGAGTGTTTGGCTGCTTGTGTTTCACTTATGTGCCTCAGATTAAAAGAGACAAGCTCAACAAAAAAGCTGAAGCTGGAATCTTTGTGGGATACAGTTCAGTTTCAAAGGCTTATAGAGTTTTTCAACCTAATACAAGAAAAATTCTAATAAGCAGAGATATGCATTTTATGGAAGATGCTAAATGGAATTGGAAAGGAGATCAGGTTGGTACAATTCCAAGTCAAGATTTAAAGTTGCTAGAGCTGTCTGAAACTGATTTGGTTGATGATGAACCTATCAGAGGAACAAGATCACTTTCTGAAATCTATCAGAAGTGCAATATTGCGGTCCTGGAAGCAAAAAATTTTTAGGAGGCAAAGAGAGATAAAAAATGGGTAGTTGCAATGGAGGAGGAGTTGAGTATGATTGAAAAAAATAAAACGTGGCAGCTGGTAAAAAGACCTGATGACAGAAAGGTGATTGGAGTAAAGTGGGTATTCAGAACAAAGCTGAAACAAAAGCTGATGGAGATTGGCCTTATAAACAGCAGATATAAACAAGCATAAAGCAAGGCTTGTTGTGAAAGGTTATGCTCAAATCCTTGGTGTTGATTTTTCTGACACATTTGCTCCTGTTGCCAGAATTGAAACAATCAAGTTGCTGCTGGCTATTGCTGCTCAAAAGGGTTGGAAAGTGTACCAGTTAGATATCAAGTCAGCGTTTTTAAATGGTCTTCTCGAGGAGGAGATCTACGTTGAACAACCTGAGGGGTTTGTTGTGAAAGAGCAAGAAGATGATGTGTATTTGCTCAAAAAAGCACTATATGGCCTGAAACAGGCACCAAGGGCCTGGTATAGCAGAATTGATGAGCATTTGTTGTGGCTGGGATTTAAAAAAAGTCTAAATGAGGCTACCCTCTACAGGCTACCCTCTACAGCAAAGGTGATGAGATCAATTTTGTTGTTGTTGCCCTGTATGTGGATGACGTACTTGTTACAGGAAGCAATTTGGAACTTGTGAATAAATTCAAGAAAGATATGCAACAGACCTTTGAGATGACTGACTTGGGGGAAATGGCATACTTTCTTGGAATGGAGGTTCAACAAAAGGAGAAAGAAGTGTTCATTTGCCAAACCAAATATGCTAAAGAAATTCTGAAGAAATTCAGAATGGATGAGTGCAAGATTGCTACAACTCCTATGGGTAAAAATGTAAAGCTCCAAGGAAGATGTAGCGGAAAAGGTTGATTTGAAACCTTTACAGAAGTCTAGTGGGTTGTTTACCTGTATTTAATGGCCACAAGACCTGACATCTGACATTCTGTGAGTCTGCAGTCTGCTATCTCGATTTACGAATTGTGCTACTGAAACTCATTTTTCTGCTGCTAAAAGAGTTCTAAGATATGTGAAAGGAACATTGAAGCATGGAATCAAGTTCGGTGCTAGTCAGTTTCATGTTCTGCAGGGCTATTATGATAGTGATCATGGTGGTTCTGATGATATGAAGAGTACTTCAGGTTATTGTTTTAATCTGGGGTCAGGAATGTTCTCTTGGTGTTGTAAAAAACGAGAAGTTGTTGAACAATCAACTGCGGAGGCAGAGTTTATTGCAGCTACAACTGCTGCAAATCAAGCTTTATGGCTTAGAAAGGTGTTATTTGATCTGAACCTGAAGCAAAATGAAGGCACAGATGTGTTTATGGATAACCAAGCAGCAATAGCTATCTCAAACAATCCCGTTTTTCATGGAAAAACGAAACAC